TACATAAAAAATTAATTGCTTTAGGAACAATATTATTCTCTTGAATAAGCAGATTAAAGAGTTTTAAATGTTTTTCGCTTATTTAATTAGAAGCGTATGAACCATCGAAATAAAAGTGAAATTTTTGTAAAATTACATTTATAGGAGGATGCGAAGAAAGAAGTTATGATGTTGCATTTACAATCTTTTGAAGTTCGTCGAGAAATAATACAACTTTTTACCGCATTTAATAATAATGATAAATAATTTGTAATAGTTCATATACTTCAACAAACGTTCCAAATTTTATTACGGCAATTACATTTGACGTTTCATCTAACAGTATGAATAGTTGTCTAAAATGCTTTCTTTTAACGAAAATTTTATTTTGCTTATGCGATGAAAAACGAATTTACTAATATAAGCCGTATTACTACCAAGATATATAGTCCGCTTTTTCGTAACGTATTAATAACGTATTACTATTATTCAGTAACGAAACAACGAACTTGTTACGAAATTTAATATATTTTACATTAACATTTTATTTTTTGACATTGGCCTACATAAATTGCCTGCAAAAAGTCTCATCTCAGAATTCCGTCGTTGAAATTCAAGTGGACTGTATCTCGACGAGCGTAAACAAATCTCATATTGCATAACTTAGTATTATAACTGCCGTAAATTAGGTTTTATACTATGTAACGTGTACATCTTAAAAGAAAAACAGAAAAGAAACGGAATTATAAGGAAAGATAAATGAAATTTATTTACTAAAATATGTCTACATAAAATTCGGAACTCCAGTTTGCACATTGAAACATCTACTTCAGTGTCCGTTTAAGTAAGACTTGTATATCGTGTTGGGCGATTTGATAAAATAAATAATTTTAAGAATGCTCTATTTGCGTTCATTTTATTTTTTCTTTTAAATAAATAAAGCAATGACTATCTTTTTCATATTTTCTGTCCATGTTAGGCTATATTTCCATTTAAAACTTTCCCTACAAACGATTTAATTATAATTGAACAATTTTCGACAAAGTAAAAGATAAAATTTTAAAAGTCAGTAATATTTGGGTCACGAATAGTAAGTTTATGTTTAAATTTATTTCTAATGTGCATACATTCTTCACAATTGCGATTGTTCAAAATTTGCAGATCATTATGTTTTTTAATATTATTCAATCTTATTTTTTCCTCATTTTCAATTATACTTTCTACCTTAAAAAATACTTTCTAAAGAATTGCTTGTCGACCACAATACTCAATAATATTTAAAATATTGTCTGGGCCTATCTGTTGATCGCTTAAATTCTGGAATGCCCGCATTAGCCCACATTCATACGACACGTGAACAGGAAATTTCCTATTAGGGTGTTCAATTACTTGGGGTCGAGCAAGCAAGCAAGCCTTCAGTTTTCATTCGTTTGCTTCGTGTAAGAAGATGCGAAAGTAGTCGCGAGAGGGGAGACAAGATTCTGCACCAATCAGGGAATGATAGTATCTATTCCGCAATCAATGCAAACCTTCACATTTCGTTAAAGCAGAAGTGGTTCAAGGCTTGATCGTGTCGCGCGCGCGCACGTATGCTACTGCGTGTGTAAAAGTGACAGTGAAATTCAACACAGTCACACGCTTGTTGAAAGTTGTTTCAATCTTATCATTATTGATATCGTGTGAATCAATTACTTCTATCTACCGTTCGTTTGTTTAAAGCAAACCATGAACGAACATATTGTCAATCTAATTGAAACACATATGTAGTCAACAAATGGGTTGTAAACAATTTTGAACACATACCTACATACATACTCACTTGCGATGTCATCTGCGCCTGTGATAATTCGAAATATGTAATTATAAGTTCAGGTGAATTTATAAGAAAAGAAGAGAAAAATAAATTTGACTTAATGTACGAATTATAAATTCCATTGTACAGTTACGAATGACAACGAAGCTAATGTTGTCATTAAGTTCAAATGGAATCGCTGCGTTATTACGATAGCAGGAGAATGAATGAACAGGTAGCACTGACAAAACGATATCGAAATTAAAAGGAAGTTCGTATCGAATTTCCAATGGTTACTTAGAATTATTTAAAGGAAATCTTTAATATTTACACATATCGATAGTAATGGGTGGAAATAATACCATTTTAGAAAGTATACAAGAAGAGTTTTTGGCTTTAACCGAAAGCTTTTTGAAACAAGGGGCTTCACTGTCAGAATTGAGATCTGTCACTGTAAGGAGTAATGTGAAGCATAAGAAAAACTCCGCTTTTCATTATCTGTGTTCAAAGAAAGTCTTCCTTGCCTTATTCATGCCAATATTTTGTACCATATTTTTAAAATATTTATATATTGATGTTATTAAAAATATAAGAGGAACTAGATGCTTAGTACCAAATAATTATTTTATATGGGAATTCACAAGGCCAATATCGAATTGTGATTATTGTAAAAATATTGCTTCAGCTTTAATCTTGCCAAATCTGACCAGAGAGGAATTCAAGCAATACGCCTATTCTTCTCGACCAATGGTGATAAAAAAGGCTGCAAGCCATTGGGCTGCTTCGAAAGTATTTAGCTGGAAATTCTTCAAAAATTTATATGAGAATACAGAAGGTGCTTATGATTCGGTAGAAGAATGTCAGTTCTTACACTTTAAAAGTAATTTCACTAGTTTAAGAGACGTCTTCGCTATGAGCGAGGATAGAGCCCTGCAACGTAGCGGACAAGAACCGTGGTATGTTGGTTGGAAAAATTGTCACCTTCAAATTTTGGATACAATGAAACAATTTTACAATCTACCTCATTTTTTGCCAGAGGATGCGGAGGTTCCATATACCAATTATGTTTTTTTGGGATATGAAGAAGGTGCCATTATGCATGTATGTGCAATAATAATAAGCTGACCATTATGTATTAATGTTTATGCATTTTAAAATTGAAACAATAGTTTTATCAATGCATAAATATTTGTAATTTGAAAACAGAGGATATATAATGAAATTGTAGGAATAATTGTAATTCTTTTATTACTTTTTTCACAGTTGGATTACATCTCTCGTCTTATGTGGCAGGGACAAATATTGGGTAATAAAAGATGGACCGTCGCTCCAACACCAGAATGTGATAGTATTTGCAAGCATTTTAACTTTACTGTTTATGCTGGAGATATTGTTCTTTTAGATACAAGAATCTGGTATCATGGCACTTATGTTATAGATGGAAATTTTAGTTTAACAGTCACCTCTGAGTATGGATAGCCTTCCTACAAACCGTACATAATTGTTTTTGAATAATTTTATACTACATAGATATGGCATTCTATGTAAGTTTTATATTCGTGTGGAATTGGAAAATCCAAAATGTCTTATCTCACTAAAATTTTATATCTATACAAATTTAAGATCAATCCAGATGCTGTTAATGACCAGCATTTAAGTGTTAAATTATTTATATAAGAAATTCAATATTTATAGGTGCCATTTTTTTTTAGCAAAAATTAAGTAAACAAATTATGTACTTTATATTATTGTATTTTGCAACATTTTATACTGCCCATCTATTCAAATTGTTATAAATCATCATAGTGTATGAAGTTTTTGCATACATATAAATTATTATGTGTTTTGTTTTTGCCATAGTTAGAAGCTAGTCGAAATGAGAATATTTAGGAAGCTATTAGCGCAAATGTGGCCATCTGTATTTTAACACAGCTGGTAGTTATGTAGTTGAAAATTATTTTTATATACATGTACATATACATACATATATATATATATATAAATTTTTATACATGCGTTTAAATATACATGTTGAAGTTTTCAAGGTATTGAAATTAGTTGTGTCATTTCCAATTAGAAGAAGAAATACACAGAATTAAATATGTTTTTATAACTCAAATTTTGTATAGATTTTACTTGAATGCCAATTGTTTTATTTTGTAATCAATTGTATTCTTATGATGTACAAATATTGTGTACCTTTAATAATTTTTAATAAAATATATGAATTACAGGTATATCTGTCTTTTGTTTTCATATTCATATGCAGTAACTTTTATTTAATATATTCATTTAATTGCGCAAAATACAATAGAATTTCTTACAGAATATTTATACAACCTACACAATAAGTACAATATAGTGTATACATTCAAAATCGTGAATAATATAGGAAAGATACAAAGAATTATCGAAATGCGCACACCAAAATGTCATTATAGCAAAGTCTAATGTGGAATGCATACGTCTGTTACTATGCAATATATTACATGTATAATACTATTCAGATAACAACAGAGTGATGTCGTATCACTGTTTTCAGAATTCGTGAATATAATTCTACTGATCCTTTTTTTCCGTTGCCTGTTGGAAACTTGGTGGACTTTCCTAAGACAAACGAGTATTAAAAATATTAAATTATTGTATTACATACATCGCACATTATGAAATGTATATTATACCTACATAGTATGCAGGAGGTGGAACATAGGCACACTGAGGTTTGCTTGGATCATAATATGCACTTTGAGCAGCTTCTGCTGCTTTTGCATCTGTAAAACAAAAACGTGTAAGACGCTGAAAACGCGACATCGAATGATTTCTTCATTATAAAAATATATTTAAACTCATAACGAATTACATACACGTATATATGTTTGATGTAGTGAACTTAAAATGTTCTGGCATGTTTATCAGGTTTATCAATTAACGAATTGTTCTAATGATCTTAATTATAATCCTTTTCCTAATTTATGTTATTATAACATCAATTAATATTTCCATTAAGAAGAATTGTTAGATAAGTCACTTTCAATACAACGTTCGAAATATTTAATCTAAAAAAGTTAATAAAATTACATGAATATTCTTTTCTATTGTTCTTAATGGTACACAGTTCTTTGCTATAGCATACTTTGATCAAGTTGTTCATTGATTACACTTAGTGTATAATAGTTTTTGTTGTATTTTGTTGAAAAACGTATAGAATTAATAATTTTATAAACTTTTCGTTCTCTATATAAATCAATTAATGAATAAAAACTGATTGAAAACTTGTAATAAGGCGTCACGTTTCTTTGAACTATCTCTGACAACTATGAGATAATAACTGAGCACAGTGAAAGTCAACCTTACTTCAGGTCAACCAAACCAGTTATGCAACATTATTGCATAATATTCAAAACCTTCAGGCTCAACAGATGAAATAGAAAATATGGCATAATTATTTAGTTTTTCTCATAAAGATTTTTCATCATTTCCATAAAAATATAATATTCTTAATTGGTGGGTTTAAATAAAAACAGCAAGTTATATTTGTCTAAATTTTAATAACATAGTATGCTTGATGTATTATAATTATTATCATAAGGCTATTATATTATTGAATAAAA